AGATTCTCTCGCAAGGATCGGAGCCGGAGAGCATTCAGGATGACTTCGAGAAGCTCTTTGATGCCATCTCTCGGGTACAATTTGACAAGATTGACCGGAAGAAGATCACCAAGATAAAGGCCATTGTGGGGACAGCCGAGGAGTTGGTGGACCTGAGCACGCCGGTGAATGCTGTGGGGAACATCGAGGACTGGCTGCTGGCCCTGGAGGCTGAGATGCAGAAGTCGATCAGGCGAGAGTGCCGAAACTGTTCCCATGACACTGGTGTTGTTATGAACGGCATGTCTCTCAAGGAGTTTGCCGATCGGTACATTGGGCAGGTGTCCCTGTTGGGCATCCAAATTGTCTGGACGGTCGACTTCCAGGAGGCCCTGATGAAAGCGACGAGGGAAAAGGACCGGCAGATCTTGCCAGCTACCAACAAGAAGTTCCAACAGATGCTCGCGGATCTAGTATCGTATTGTCTCTCTGACTTGGGCTCGAAAATGAACCGCACGAAGTACGAGACTTTGGTCACGATCCACGTGCATCAAAGAGACCTGTTCCAGGAGGTCATGAAGAAGACAAGGGAACATAAGGTGAAGGATGAGAATGACTTCGAGTGGATGAAACAGACCCGATTCTATTGGAGGACCGAGACGGACCACGCCATTGTGTCCATAGCGGACTGCGATTTCACCTACTCCTACGAGTATCTTGGGGTGAAGGAACGTCTGGTCATCACTCCTCTAACGGACAGGTGTTATCTGACTCTCTCCCAGGCGCTTGGCATGTTCTATGGGGGAGCCCCAGCGGGCCCTGCTGGGACTGGTAAAACGGAGACCACGAAGGATATGGGCCGATCATTGGGTATATTCGTTATCGTTACCAACTGCTCGGACCAGCATCGATATAAAGATATGGCCAAGATCTTCAAGGGGCTCTGTCAGAGTGGTCTTTGGGGATGCTTTGATGAGTTCAATCGTATCGAGTTAGAGGTGCTCTCGGTCGTGGCCATGCAAGTCGAATCGATCACGCTTGCTAAGAAACAGAACGCCAAGACCTTCTCGTTCCCTGGCGAGGCCATCCCTATCCGTCTGGTGCCGAGTGTCGGATACTTTATCACGATGAACCCAGGATACGCAGGTCGTCAGGAGCTCCCAGAGAATCTTAAGGTCCTGTTCAGATCTGTGAGTATGATGGTTCCTGATCGTGAGATCATCATGAGGGTGAAGCTAGCCTCTGTAGGGTATACCCAGATGGACCTTCTTGGCAAGAAATTCAATGTTCTCTACAAGCTGTGTGAGGAGCAGCTGTCGAAGCAACGACATTACGACTTCGGTCTTCGGAATATCCTGTCAGTCTTGAGAACGGCAGGTGGGGTGAAGAGGAGCGAACCTCCGGACGCAGATGAGGAGATGATTTTCATGCGTACCGCGAGGGATATGAATTTGTCTAAGCTGGTGGCTGACGATGTCCCTCTGTTCTTGGCCCTTCTTAAGGACCTTTTCCCTAAGGTGGCCGATCCACCTAAGAAAGTGTACAAGGAAATTGAGGACGGCATCGATGAGGTTGTCAAGGCTAAGAAGTTGACGCCATTTGACCCGTGGAAGCTGAAGGTCATCCAGCTCTACGAGACTAGCTTAGTGCGCCATGGCTTCATGCTTGTCGGTCCTACACTGTGTGGCAAGACAGAGATCATGACTACTCTCACTGGGTGTATGACAGACCACTGTCAGAATGCTCATCGTATAGTTGTGATGAACCCCAAGGCCATCACCGACTCGCAGATGTATGGTATCAAAGACCCTGTCAGTGAGGAGTGGACCCCTGGAGTGTTCGCTTCAATCTGGGCGAAGTATAACAACCGTACGTTGAAGTACACTACGTGGATCGTATGTGATGGCCCTGTTGATGCTATTTGGATTGAAAATCTCAACACGGTCCTTGATGACAACAAGATCCTTACTTTAGCGAACAACGACAGAATCCCCATGACCGACAACTGTCGTATCGTATTTGAAGTGGAAAATCTGAACAATGCCTCGCCGGCTACAGTGTCACGAGCGGGCATCATATACGTCAGTGCCAGTGATCTCGGTTGGGACCCCCTAGTACAGAGTTGGCTGGTGAAACGGCTCGATCTTGGGGCCCATCGTGAGCAGGAGAAGAGCATCATTGCTGGCTTCATCCAGAATTGGATTGCTGAACCGGACCTCTTCGACTGGTGGAGACGCAACATAACATGTGTCATGAGCATCAACGAAAACATCGTCATTGTTAACATGTTGAATATGATTTCTGCGATCTTGGCGCCTCATGTGGCGGCCAGCGAGGTGCTTACTCCTGACGCTTACAAGCGTATTGTTACGTACGCAGTGGCTTGGGCTTTCGGAGGCTTGTTGGAAACAGAAGGGCGGAAGCAGTTCCATGAGAAGCTACACTCGGTGGGTCTCCGGTGGCCGCATTCTCGAATGAAGTCATTGTGGTTTGTCCTGTCAGATTCAGTCTGCCTGTGGTGACGGCGATGCGTTGCCACCTCTCGATGGTGACCAGACGGTATTCGAGTACGTCCCGAACCGAGAAGACCCCTCGAAGGCATATCCTTGGCTGTTGTGGAAACCTGAGGTGTGGAAGCCTCCAAAGAAACTGAACTTTAGCTCTTTGCTGATCCCGACACTTGATTCATGCCGTGCGGAGTTCATGATCAATATTATCTCCAATCTCGATCGCAGTCGTGCACCTCCCAATTTCCAGAGTGCACTGATGGTTGGTGCTAGCGGTACGGCTAAGACAAGCACAGCGATGATGTATGTGCAGGGCTTTTCACTGGACGAGAGACTCTCTAAGAGGATTAACTTCAGCAGCGCTACGACGCC